CTCTCTCTTACTTTTCTCTGTCTCTGTCTCTCTGTCTCTCTGTCTCTCTGTCTCTCTCTCTCTGTCTCTCTCTGTCTCTCTCTGTCTGTCTCTGTCGCTCTGTCGCTCTGTCTCTCTCTCTGTCTCTCTGTCTCTCTGTGTCTCTGTCTCTCTGTGTCTCTGTCTCTCTGTCTCTGTCGCTCTGTCTGTCTCTCTCTGTCTCTCTCTGTCTCTCTGTCTCTGTCGCTCTGTCTCTCTCTGTCTCTCTCTGTCTCTCTCTGTCTCTGTGTCTCTGTCTCTCTCTGTCTCTGTCTCTCTCTCTCTCTCTCTCTCTCTCTCTCTCTCTCTCTCTCTCTCTCTCTCTCTCTCTCTCTCTCTGTCTCAGATCTGCACGGGTTGGTTATCCCTCACCCCCCTTTTCATTCCCTGTCCACCAATAAAGCTCCACGTGGGACTGTTGACTCACGGTTTGTGTCTCGTTACTGGGTAAGCCTAGACATTTTAATAATGCTGACGTAAGGCAGGCTTGACGGCTGTCTCGCTGTAGAAATGATAAAACACGCTCAGAGGGGTCACACAGACAAGATGGGGCATAACTAGAGCTATGTTGAAACCCAGCCCACCAGGACTTGGTTTCCTGTGCTGCCTGGTTGCTAAGGGTGCTCTAGATTTTCTGGGTCTTTCTGTGAGGAGTACAGTGAGTAGACGCCAGGTAGGCACCACAGCTTCAGTCAGACAGCCCGAGTCAGGCCAGGCACAGCGCCTTCTGGGAAAATGGAAGCATGAAAATGAGCTGAAAATGAGCGAAGCCACCCACAGCCCCCAAATCTCCACAACCCCACCCCCATCAAAAAAGCCGCTATGTCTGTCTTTACAGGGAAATCTGCACTAAAGTATCCCAATAGCCCCAGAGACAAGTCCCACAGACTTAGGAGGCTTTGTGTCTCAATGATACCATGGTTACAAAGAACAAAACTTCCACAAAGTCTTTAAACAGTTAATTCCATCAGTCACTAGGGTTTTTTACCACCTCCTGGCCTGAAGCCTTCTCAGGATGCTGTTTGCTGCCCTCTTGTGGAGAAAAGATGCTATTGGCTGGGGGAACGCACTAATAGTGTTTTTAAAAAAAGTCCCATTAAGAGTACTGACCCCCTTCTTTCTCTGTCGCCTGGGGTTGCCAGGGACCTGTGTGTGTTCTCTTTCCAAATCAGGTTGGTAAACTGAATGGTAAAACACGGGGTCCAGGATATATTTGTGTGTTTTTTAATTTTTTTTATTTTTCATTCCTCCAGACACTCGTGGGCAGGTATACAACAGTACAAAGGTCAGAGTGGGAATGTATAAAAGACTCCATGGCTAGTTATGCAGCCTCTACAAAAGATGACTCCCAGGTAGAACAAGCCTCATCTACAGAACAGAGTCCCTGTGACACAAGAATAACCCCTGATCCCCTTGGTGGCCATGTAGATATACAGTGATAGGCATTAAAGTTCCAGAGAATAACAACAGAGGACTGCCAACAGCCAGAGAATGCCACGCATGTGTGCCGAGAAGCCAAGGGAACCCATCCATATAGAAACTCCAGGTTATGGTGGCTATTTCTCCAACAGGCTTGAGCAAAGCCTCACTCAGTACTCTCACCAGCCCTTCTGACGGTTCAACTTTCACTAGAATGGGAAGATGCCATCTGCCTTTCTTGGGAACAACTCCACTCTTAATTTAGAGTTAACTATAGAGCTGTCTGTTTTCTGACTTTGGAGTTAGCCTGAAACAAAGATTGTCACAGATGAAATGAGAAGTTTGGCTGCAGCCTATTATCTTCGTTAAGGTTTCCATTGCTATGAAGAGATACCATGACCACAGCAACTCTCATAACAGAAAATATGCCATTGAGATGGAAGCTTATAGTTTCAGAGGTTCAGTCCATTATCATCAGGGTGGGGAGCCTGGCAATGTGCAGGCAGACGTGGCCCTGGAGGAGGAGCCGCTACATGTGGATCCGCAGGTAACAGGAAGTAGACTGAGATGCACTAGGTATGGCTGAGCATGCTGAGACCTCAAAACCTGCCTTCACAAGGCCACACTTCCCAATAGCACCATTCCCTATGATATTATGGGAGCCAATTACATTCAAATTATCACACCTATTTTCTTCAAGTGTGCTTGCATGCATGCATGTGTGCATGTGTGTGGTATATATACTTGTTTGTATGGGTGTGTATGCATGCCTCTTGTAGGTCAGAGGTCAACATCAAGTGTATTCCTCAATTACTTTCCACCTTATTGCTTGAAGCAGGGTCTCCCATTGGACTGAAGCTTCCTGGTTCCCGTGGGCTATCTGGACAATAAGCCCCCGGGATCTACCTGTCTCTGCCACCCTTGCCTGGGCTTATAGGAATGAACCACTGCCTGATGGAGGTTCAATCTCAGGCCCTCTTGTTTGCATGGCAAGTACCTTATCCACTGAGTCATCTCCCAGGCCACCCTCCTTAATTTTTTCATCTCTCCTGAACACCCACCTCCCTTCCTGGTGCCTGGAAATCTGTTGAGAATGCACCCGCTGTCATGTTTTACCAAGCTCTATTCTAGAGAACAGATGCGCTTTAAACAGATAAGATTAATGACTTCAAACACTCCGGCCCCCTAAATGAACTCATCAAAAGACACGCCGCACAACAACCAGCCACCTATAGATGCTCCACACCAGTCGAGTGGTATCGATTTTATGCTGATTCTGCAAAACTTCAATCATTATTTTTCTCATCTTCGAACTGTCACTTGCGGGTAGAAAATTGAGTTGTAAGAGATTTAAGAAATTATCTTGAACCTAAAACTGCAGCCATCCTTAACAAGTCAAAGTAAGGGAGGAGAAAGCATGGCATGCTATCATCTGTCTGGGCGTGGGCTATCACATAAATCAAATTTCCCAGATACAGAAGTCTGGACAGGGGGAATTTATACTTCTGACATGTATGTAGTTCAAGGTTTACACTTAACTTTCTTGGGGCCATGGGAGATACAGGGTCTCTCTGTATAGTGCAGGCTGGCTTTGAACTCCCAATCTTCCTGCTGAGAGTCAAGTACAATAGGGGTCTCAGCTACTCTGAAAGCTGAAGCAAAATGACCACATGAACCTCAAATGTTTGGGGCTGATATGGGCAACATTGTGACTTGGCTTAGATGTGAAACAAACAGCTACCTCATGTTCCCACTGCCAGAGAGATGCCTGGTACTGGCTTCCCCCACCTGATAAGCCATATGTCCTCTATCCTCCATCCTCTCTTAAGTTGTGTTTGCCCAATATTCTGTCGCAGTGATGAAAAATAATTTATGTAGCAATAGAATGCATAGTAAGATCCCTGTTGAAAACAAGTACTATCTCACATGTAGAACCTACATTAAATATATATCTACATATATCAACACAGATGCATGAATCAAAAGGGGAACTATTTTTCAGGGGCTTAGAAAAGGCCAAAGAAAGTAAAAACATAAATATCCCCCCTAAATCACAAAAGTTAAGCTGTGAGGTAGCTAGAGTCTTGGCTCTTTTATCCTTTTCAGACATGTGAACTAGCTAGAGCCTTGGCTGTTTTATCCTTTTCAGACATGTGCTGTTTTATTTGTTCAGCATGTAATTTCCAGTCTGTGATCTGGAAGTTAGGAGAGGCATTTGGATGGTAAATTGTATCCCGTGGTTTGTAAATAAAGATGAAAAGTGCTGGGGATATAGCTCAGTGGTAGAGTGCTTGGAAGTAATAGATTCAGCCCCCACTTCCAACGAAATGAAGAAAGAAAAGCAGTATTGAATGTGTGGCAATACTGTAGCTGCTCATGTCCATAGCCTGAGCTCAGATCTCATGTTGCATCTGACTCCAGCACTTTCATCCATGCTGTGGCCTCCACTACCCACACAATGGACTTTGCCAACCTGCGTTCAGTCTGGAACTAAAATCTCTCAGCATCTTGGAACTCCCAGATACACCAGAGGGGTTAAGTCACAGTGATTTGGGTCCAGCTTCCTGGGCCTGTTGTAACGAATAGCATCATGGACAGTGGAGATCAAGGGTTCCCTCGGGGTGGATAGAGGCAGACAAAAGGACAGAATGGGAACTACTTCCAGGGATGATGGGGAACTCGGGAGAAACAATGGACGATAAAAGGGGAGGAGGAAAGACAAATGTCATGTTTTCTCTCCTGCACAGAGTTAAGCATGCCTAGAGCGCCTGTGGAGGTGCAGATAGGACTTGAAAGTAGGAGGGGCTCTTTGCAGAGAAGAGCAGAGTGACAGGAGGAGGTGAAAGGGTCACCAGAGGGTAGTGGAAGGTAATCATGGACAAAACGTAATGACATATAACCATGACAATTACATCATGAAGCCTGTTATTTTACACATTGCTATAAAATTAACTTTAAAAGGCAATGCACAGACATGAATTTCACTAGAAATTACCAGAACAGCTGTCCCTCTAGGTTTAGACACACTTACGTTTGAGGGCCATGAAAATGCAAAGGTTATCCTTGCTATTTTCTTTATTTTGTCTTTTTTTTTCTTCTCTCCTTCATTATGTCCCTCACGCAGCCTATTTTCTCCACGTGTCTCAGAAGCATCTTGAGTTACCTAAAAGGTCCTCTCAGGATAGCCCTGTGTCACCAGAGATCTAACCCTGATCCTGAGTTTCAGGGAGTTATAAGAGCACCTGCATATGTGCAGACACGCTCAGTCACACACAGAGTGCTATGACATCCTGACATTCAGAGAAAAAAAACACTACTAACGCACACCCTAGAAAGTCAAAGTGACACCTCAAAGGACAGCCCAGACAACACCTTGCAAAGACGCCCAGCACAACCCTGCTCCAGCACCAGTCATTAGCCCCTCCCTGTCTGTCCGTGGCCTACCATTATTTACACACCAGCCAAAGCTCTTGTCAAGCACCTGTGTCTAACCTGTGGACTCTGGTGTGTCAAGCACTTTATTAATTGATCTCAGCAGTATATAATGAGCTTAAAGGGCTTACCTGTGTGTCCCCGGAGGTGCTGGCTTGAGGCAGACGTCAGCTTACAGCAGCACATTAGCACATAGGCCAGAAGCAGCCAGTGTGACAGCAGCACCCACCTAGCACAGACTCTCATCCTGTGAAGAAACAAGGCCGCAGTCAGCAAGGCTGAGGAAGGCCAAGGTCTTTGGTCAGCCCCAGGCAGGGAAACAGAGAGGGGCTGGTGAAGAACCTCAACACGTGACTTCCTCTTTCCTCCCCCGGGAAAACTGTAAGGCCACCAAGCTTCATCTCACTGAGCATTGACTCCACTTCCAACAAATGTCTCTCATAATTAAGAGTTCTGAGTTAACACCACGCCTTGGTGCTTAGGAATCTCCAAGGAGCAGCTGAAGCTGCCCTGGTAAAACTCGGGCCATATTCTATCCTATCTCAAAATGTAGAACTCAGTTAGAGCCATTTTCAAAGAGAGTACACAGGCTCTCTATGTCTGAATAAACCCAAAAAAATGTGCACCTGTGACCCAAGGACTTTGGGTTTGTGTGTGTGTGTGTGTATTAAAACCCTCTGATCCAGATGTGATTCATAGTTCATGACACAAATTAGGTGGGAAAAAACAAACCAGTATAAAAAAATCTCAGGCACTTGGGGAAGGGCCTGGGCCCTCCCCAGAACAAAATGACAGACTCTAGAGATCCCCCATGGAGGGCCTTATCCTACCTGGGGAATGGAGTGGGGATTGGGTGGGGGGCTTGGGGGGGACTGGTGGGGGGAGTGGGCATGGAGGGGAGAGAGAGGGAGCTAGGATTAACATGGGAAGCAAGTTTGTTCCTAATTTAAATATATAATGAAAAAAGTCTAAAAAAATCTCAGGTATGGGGACTCGACACCTTAATTTCAGGACTCAAGAGCTTCATTGAGTTCAAAGTCATCATTGGCTATTTAATGAATGGAGGGAGGGCCTGTCACCAAAAACTGGAACAAACAGAAGTAAAAATAAATTGCCGTCAAATGCGTGGACAGTATCAAAAGAGTTCTCTAAGATAACTCCATTCACAATTGGCTGTGCCCTCTATTCTAAAACAAAATGAGAAAACAATAGGACTATCAGGGGCTAAAAAGAGGGCTCTGTAAGGATGCTACTAGTTGTGTAAGATGAGGACCTGACTTGGCATCTCAGCATCCAAGAAAAAAAGGGATGTACCACGCACACACCTGTAACCCCAGTGTTGGGGGGGGCAGAGATGGTAGGCTCCCTGGGGTTTGCTGGCTACCAGCCTATGTTAGACACATCCAGTGTCTTCCCTCTGCTTGCAAGCACACAGGCACACATATTTGCACACTCAGAAATGTGAGCCTTAGAGTTCCAGAAGTAGTTTTTCAAGAGAGTGGACTCTAGTCTTCAGTCTGCACATTTCTGTGGAACAAGGTGGGTAACAGCAGCTTCCTTAGATGGGTCTCCACACCTCCTGCCCCCATGGCTGGTGCCTGAGGCCCTACCAACCCAACTTACAGCCCTCTCGGCTTTTCAGCCCTAGAATAAAAGGGAAAATCCTTTGAAACAACTAAATCAATGAGGATTGAAGGATTAACAGTTGGAACTTAAATCACCCTGTACAAGAGAAAATACTCTACTAAGAGTCACCAAGGTGCTGAGGATGCGTCACCATTGGTAGAGTCCTTACCTAGCATATATAAAGCCTAGGGTTCGATTCCCAGCACCATGAAAAACTAGGCAAGATGGTGCATTCCTGTTAGACTAGCACTGGGGAAGTGAAGGCTGGAGGGTCAGAAGCTGCCAATCATCCTCAGCTAAATAATGAGTTCAAGGCCATCCCAGATTGCAGAAGACACCGTCTCAACAACAACAAAAGGAAACACACATCAAATATAAAAATTTCAATCTCTTTGCTTCCCTTATGCTAATTGATAAACCTCAGCATCTCAAATTGGCATGAGGTCCACATAGTGGTTTCTTTGTAACCTCTGAGGCTGCGCCAGGCCTTAGGGTCCCTTCATGCATGTGTACTGAAGTAGAGGAGATGGCCACTGTATTTTCATGCTGACCCTCCAATGCAGAGAGGGACCACGTTTGTCTCCAAGATGAGAGTGCTCAAGATTTCTGAAGTAAATGACTAAATGTCACAGTTGACAGTTAAGTCAAAAATAGGAGTTTGGTTCTTGAAAGTTAGGAGTGTGGCATGGGCCTTCTGGTCATTGCTAGAGACAATTAGAATCCTGGGTTCAGTTTCCCACCACCCCTGGGCCAGTAGAGGAAAGGGAAAAACAAAAGGTTTTAACTAGGCTTGTGTCATCAGCTAGAGACCGAACCAGGAAGCTGATCCCTGGGATAGTGGAAAGCATATCCTTGGACTTTGTAATTGAGATTGCCACGTAATAGCACTTGCCAGGTGCTCTCTTGGGCCCTAGAGGTTTGATGGGTGGAGTCTCCTAGCCCTGTCTTAGTTATAACTATTATTCCAAAGAAATCACAGTCCCATGGGCTGGAAAGATGGCTTAGAGGTTAAGAGCACTGACTGCTCTTCAAGGGGTCCTGAGTTCAATTCCCAGCAACTACATGGTGGCTCACAACCTTCTACAATTCAGTCTGGTACCCTCTTCTGGTATGTAGGCAGAACACTGTATATGTGATAAATAAATAAATCATATTTAAAAAAAATAAATCACAGTCCCATTTTGGGGTTCACCTGAATAATTCAGTTGGATGGAGAATAAACACACGCCATTGAACTCCAATCAATTATCTAAGATTTTAATTACATCTGCAAAACCCTTTTGCCTTCACCCTGTGCTTGGAACCTATTCAAAGGAGTGAACCCCATGTTAAGATACTTCCCACACTCAAAAGGGGACTGCACCAACCCGGCTTCTCAATATGTGAATGCTGGGCTGCCCCTAATAATCTGCTCAGCGTCTCTGATCCAAGCCTAAGTGTAATCAGTCCCCTACATTCACTTCCCTGCCCTCACATCATCCTGAATTGTTTCTGTTTTCCTGTTCAATCCAAACAAGTCCCCAAAGTAAGAAGACCATGGAGCAACAGTCCAAATCCTAGACCATGGTCTCCAAGACAGATTCTTCCAGGAACTGTTCTAGATGCCAGGTTCTGCTGCTCCTAAAACAAGTACCAGGCGTGGTGACACATGCCTCTAACCAGCACTGGGGAAGCAGAGGCAGGTAGTTAGTTCTCTGTGAGTTCAGGGCCAGCCTGGTCTACCGGGTGAGACACTCTTCCCACCACATCCCCCCCACAAAGACACAGTGAAGCCCTAGAGAAATGTCAGGGCCGGGTAATAAGGTGGAGCAGGGGAGTTACTCAAAGTTCTCTGTGTCTCCTCTTTTCCCCCTAGAATGTGCCCGAGGATTTTACACCTTGAAATGACTTTGTTTCAAAGACAGTGTTAAAATTAAAAGAATGACAAGTATCCTTTTTTTTTCTTTCAAGTCAGGGCTTCTCTGTGTAACCCTGACTGTTCAGGTACTTGCTCTGTAGACCAGGCTGGCCTCAAACTCAGAGATCCTCCTGCCTCTGCCTCCTGAGTGTTGGGATTAAAGGTATACACCACCACTGCCCAATTTAACAATTATCCAAAAATTTAAATGTATTTTTAAAGACTTCCAGGAAGCTTCATCGACTCTTGGCTACTTGGTGTCTACTGAAATCATTTTAACTATTTTACCTTGGAGAGTTCACAGGGTGTGGGTCCAGTCAAGCACAGTTACTCCAGAATGTCCTGCAGAGTGGCAGCAAATGCTCCTTTGTAGCTGGGACCAACCATATCGGCAGCTCCCAAAACCTGCTTCAGCTTGGGAAACCTGTCTTTAAAAACGCAGAAAAACAGGGATGAATTACCATCTAATGTTAGCATTAGGAGTAAAATAATGCTTTCTACCATGATGCCTGCAATAGGCCCGCCGATGAACAAACTGTACCTCATTAGTAATGTTGGCCAGGGGGGCAGGGAGGACTTGATGCTAGTCCACGCAATACAGACAATTTTATGTTTGTTTTGTATGTAAATAAGTATATTTGTATTGTTTGTATGTGTGCATATATGTAAGCAAGTATGCATGGCTTCGTGTCATGTGCATGCATGTCTCTGCACTGATGTAAGCAGGTATACATGCGTGTTTACATGCATGTAATCAGACATGAATGCATGTGCCTGCTTGCATGTAAGCATGCTGTGCATACATTTGTGTGTGTGTGTGTAAGGTGGTGTGTAGGAATATGTGTGCTTGTCCATGTGGATGACAGAGGACAACCTCAGGTGTTGTTCCTTGGGTGTCATGTTCGATTTTTTGTTTGTTTGTTAGGTCTCTCACTGGCCTGGAAGCCCTTGAGTAGACAAGAGTGGCTGGCCATCGAACCCTAGGAATATATCTGTCTCCACCTCCCCAGAGCTTGGGTCACAAGCATCATGCTACCACATGAAGCTTTTTATTGGACTGGGTTAGGGGGTGGGCGTTGAGACAGGATAACCTTGACTATCCTGCAATTTGCTCTGTAGACCGAGGGTAGCCTTGAACTCACAGATATCCACCTGCCTCTGCCTCCAGTGTGCTGGGATTAAAGGCATGAACCACCACCACCCAGAAAAGCTTTTTATTTTTGTAGTGTGGGCCCCAGGGATCTATTTCAAGTCCTTCTTGATCAGTTGAGCAATCCCCCCAGTCCTACACAATTCAGATTTAAAACGGAAATGTTCTCAGCAACACAGCCATTCAAGTTATGATAGAGTGACCCAAATCATTTAAGATACACTATTTCACAGTCCTCATCTCATTGATCATTGGACAAAAAGGAAATCCGAGACAGTCCCGAAGGGCATACAGTTTGCTCAAGCTCACAGAACAGGTCACAGTCAGTCTGAAGATCTGAATCCCTGGAGCTGGGTGACTGCAATGACACTAGACCATCTTCAAGGCTCCCTCTTGAAAAGTGTTAGTGGGAGACACACAGAAAAGGTCTTTTCAACGTAACTCATTGTTCCAAATTATAAAGAATTCAAGAAAGTCCATAACTCATACTCAACACCCCAAATGCACCAGCATTTTGCCTTCTAATGGTATCATTGAAAGAGAGAGAGGGAGAGAGAACTGAATGATCCAAGCGACAGAAAAGCCCAATGGTCAGTGCTTCACGAGCATCCACGAATCCCTGGGTCCAGTCTCCAGCACTGCATAAATAAAACACACAATCCAAACCAAAGCACCTGAAAAGCAAAATGGACCCTAGAACGCACCGCCTTGCACACTGCTGAGGGGAATATGCCCCTCCCTGCTGTACAGCGGAAAACAGTCACACACACTAAAAAACCTAATGGAAATGGCACTCAATAAATACGGCATTGCAAATATCAAAACAGTTCTCAGAATGCCGCCTCATTACTTTGGGATCCTCATGAACCCATTATAAATGCATCCCCAGCCCGAGTGAGATTATTTCTCTTCTTTAAATAATTTAAAGATAATTCCCCCAGTCTGATGAGAGAAGCTTTCAGGTGATGAACTTCAAGACCAGCCCCTTTGAGGGTCTTGGGAAACAAAGAGTGTGCCAGGAACAATCCACTCCACAAAAGGAAAATGGCTCTGAACAGCTGCATAAACATGAATTACTCAGGATGTTCATGTCCCCAGTCTTCCAGCTTGATGAAGAATCTTTGTTGTCACGTCCACCCAAGGGCATGACATGACCTTCTGCTATTGGAAAGCAAGGCATCACATAATCCATCAGCGCCAACTCTTCATGTACTGGAAACAAAGGTGACCTTTCCTGGCTAATATTCATCTTGTTTTCTTCACACGGAAGGAACCACTGAGCCTTCTGTTTTCAGTTCACTAGAAAGAATGCACTCTCAGAGAAGAGGCATACCTTAGCATAGTCCACATGTCAGACAAGGTACCAGGAGTTCAATTTTGGGTGATTCATTCAGTCATATTTTCAGTGCCTGGGTGAAGTTCTGAAAATTATAAACCCTTAAAAACCCCACAGTGATCAAGACCACCAGCTTGCTATACACAGCCCTCAAGCATCCACTAGGAGTCACACCAACTATGACACAGTTGTTTTTGTAATCAGGCTGGCCTCAAACTCACTAGGAAGCCAATGATGACCTTTTACTTCTGATCCTCCTGCCTCTGCATCCCCAGTGGATTGCAAACATGCACCATCAAAGTCAGTTTATGTGGTGCTAGGGACCAAACCCAGAGACTCTTCATTTGCTAGGTAAGCACTCGACCAAATGAGCTACACCCCCAGCTAACACCACCATTACCATTAGTCAGCTTCAAAACTCATTTATTTTTAAGGAGTTTTCAGAATTCTCCGTGATAAGAGACACTGGGCGCATTGAGGCTCAGATGTTTCAAACTGTTTTACCATGTCTGGTCATTCTGAGAATGCACTGAAAAGACAGACAGCATTTGGATGCCGGGCTATGTCTTTCATCTCTCACCTGACACGGTGGCATTATACAGAGGCAGGTATTTTTCTATGTCTATTCACATTCCCCAATACTGAGAAACTTTGAGGTTTCCAGACCGAGGAGACTATTCTTCAGATGTTTAATTTATTTCCATGTTACACAGCAAAGAATGCCGCCTGCCCTTGATTTCTTATCAAGGAAATGGAGAGGTCGTGCCTTTCTGTTCTCTTGATCTGCCTGCCTTCCCTGTTAGCAGGGTGAGCTCCCAGGGGAATGATTCTCTTGTGCAGCACCGCCTCCAGCACGCATGCCAATCTTTATCCCATCCCAAGGTTTTTCATTCTGGAAACCTGTGCCACTGACACATACTAGTTCCTTTTTCAAGTGGGCAGACGGAGGATCCAATCCAGGAAAGAAAAAAAAAATTCGGACAAACTCACGTGTTTGAGGCATTTAGACCATAGGCATTCTGCTTTTCTTCGGAAAATTATCTAGATCACAAAGACCAACACCCACCCACCCAAAGAAAGAGAAAGAATTATCTGAGTAAAGAGGAAGATGTATCGTCCACTGGATCTCAAGCAAGGAAAATGAATTCCTTGTCACTGCCAGGATGAGCGTGTGCAACCAAACAGCTATAAAGGGCGTCACTCTGACAGTTAGAAAATCAGAATAGAGGATGTAAAGTACAATGTTGAAGAGACAGACACTCCAACTCCTTATTCTGATTACAGTGCAGCTCAAAAAAAGTCTTTCTTATTGAAAACTACGCCCTGAAATATTAAAGAATAAAGAGATAAATATCTCCAATTCATTTCAAATGAGCCAACAGAAAAGAAAGAAAAAGAAGGAAAGATGAAAAGGGGGAAACAGGCAGGAGGAGGGGAGGTGGGGTCTGCGGGAAGAGGAGAAGGGAAGAATGATGGGCAAGTGAATGGGTGAATGGGTACTAAGCAATGGGAATGGCACCTGGTGGATGGGGTAGACAGTGCATGGGAACGCTTTGTACTCTTCTTCCAGTGTTCCATTGTCAGAAACATCAAAATTAGGTCTGCACTTGAAAGGCTTCATCGGATGTGTTAAAAATGGTTGATACCATTGCCTTTCCTAAGCAACAGAGTTCATAGCTTGGACACTGCACTGGATCCTCCAAACCCCCAAAGAGGTCTGCCTGCTTTATTATTTAAAACCCTTACTGGGCCAGCAAGGTGGCTCAGTGGGCAAAGGCACTTGCTGCTCATATCCTGAGTTTGGTCCCTGGAACCTACATGGAGGAAGAAGACAACGGACTTGTCTTCTGACCTCCATGTACATGCTGTGATACATGAATACATGCATACGTACATACATATATAGTACTCACACATATTCTTGATAGATAGATGATAGACAGATAGATAGATGATAGAATGTTTGTGGGGTATGTTTATACATTTAAATGTAAATAAATAAATAGAGCAATAGAGTGGTATTTGATTGAATAAATAATGTATACCACTAGGAATGGTGAAATCTGTATGTCCATAGTACCAGCACTGAGGTAATGGAGACAGGAGATCACAGGTTCAAGGACATCCTCACCACGTAATGAACCCCAGGCCAGCCTGGGCTACATGATGGTTTACCTCTCCCATCCCTGACCCCTGACCCCACAAAAAACAGACTGTCATATAGCATCTACTATAGACAAAACACCTAACTGTTGTGTTAAGCCTTTTAAAATATTAACCCCCACTGGATATAATGGTGCATATCTTCAATTCCAGTCACTTGACAGGATAAGACGGGAGGATCCAAGATTCCAGGCTAGCTTGGACTATATGAGACTTCTGTTAAAACAGAATTGGAATGGACTTGGGGCCAGTTCAGTGACAGATTATTTTCCTAGCATGAATAAGGCCCTTCATTCAATCCCCCTGGTCTGTAAAACAAACACATGAATGAATAACCATCCATTTTAAATTAGGGCTTATTTCTATCCCATTACAGCCTAGAAAGGACCAGAAACTCATTCAGTGTCACCCAGCTAGGAAGTACATGATCTAAGATTCACATTCTAGCCACCAAGACACCAAATGTCTAAACTCCACTAGACTACACATTAATACATTCCCAAAACATGTGCAGCTCTTCCCATGAATTTAAGTACACTGAAAATCAAGTCACTTTTCCTTGGCACCTGAAGACACTGACCTACGACCTCTGGGTCTCAATCTGCCGAGACGGAATGACATCACCAGAACACCCTGGATTGGGTCTATGATGGTTTACACTGATGCCTACAACATTAGTTTTGCTCTGTCTTAAAGGGCTACTAGAAGACAGTGGGCCAGGTAATGTGCAACAGATTCACTGAGTGAAAGTGAATCTGCAAGAATTACACAGGTTCCAA